AGAAAACTGAAAAAATCTAATGGGGTATTTGTTTATTTCTCTCACAGTTTATTTATTGCAAGATAAAAGAAAAAGACAATAGTTCATGTTATTGCTGAGAGGATACTGTTGTTTTCAGTAGCGGAATCAATACGCAATAAACCGAAAACGCCTATACCGAACAGTGTGGACAACAAGAAAAGTGCTACTGAATGAGAGTATCATGGAAAGGAAAACAAAAATATTAGGATGAGCCTGGGACATTGTAGATATAGTTTTAAAACCTGACGCTGCGAACAGTTTGGACAACCAGCGTGACTAGTAACCAGTCATTGTCATCAAGTTCCCTGTCAGTTGGAGTATGGGTTCGTGTGTTGACACACCACCATGCCATGACACAAGGCCGTCAAGAATCATCTTACGCCATCCTCCTCTGTCTCTCCTGCCAGAAATCTTTCCAATAGTGACAAGATGTTTGTGTTTCCTTTGTCTCATAGCGTGACCAAAATAATGAGTTTCTTTCTGATGTTTGTGAAAAGCCGTTTTGGAGCCCTCGCCTCTTTCAAAATATCTAGGTTTTAGCGGGAGGGGGGGGGGGGGGGGGGGCTTTTCCAATGAATTCTAAGGATTCTGTTGATAAACCACATATCAGAGGCTTCAAAAAATGATTTGGCTTGTTTATTAATTATCCAGGATTCACAGCCATATGTTAAAACTGGCTCTATTTAGTATGCGAGAATTCTTTTCATGGCATAGATTTATTGCATAAAATGTTCATTTTATAAAGTGCAGTTTTAGCATTTCCTATCCTTTTTTTTTCTTTTACATTTATGTGGTACATCTTTCGTCGGTTGTTATTCATGTGTCTAGATACTTAAAGTTCTATATTTGTCCTAAATAAAAGCCTTTGACTTGTATTACACATTTAGGCGCTATTTTCTTTTCTTGGATATCATCATTATGTCTTCCCATTATTCAGACTGAAGCCCATTCGATTACTCTCTAGCACCTGCGTTTGTATCAATCCCTGCAGTTCTGTCTAACGTATCGCTATCAAGAAGTGTCAGCTTAACGTAGGTAGTTTACGTCACGACCAGCAACAACAATTCCTGGCATATCCAAGACATAACTGATTATATATTCACTGTAAAATGAAAATAAATCAGGTGATGTCGATGTCGTATTCCCCTCTTTATGCTCTTATTTTTATATGGTTATTGTTTCTTATAGCTGCTGTATACTAATAATACATGTGTTTATAATTCGTAAATATTTCCACTATTATAAATGTAATTCTCTAGTTGTATTATTATTTCAATTCTAAAATATCCAAAAGGTTCCAAAGTGATGCTGTCTAACCAAGGTGCCTTTCCTTGCATAATGTGATGCAATGTATCCTCAACTTCTACAGCCCGCATTGGTGGGACTTGGCTATTTTCCTGCAAATCAACCTCTGGTCTATAATCACTACACAGATTCCCCGTGTACTTCTTGCAATTTTAACCAAATTTTACACACTTTACCAGCACTTTATCATCTCAGTGATTGATTATGGACTGGGGTTACTCACTGTCTCGAAGAGTTAGCTAGAGAAACTGGAGCGCTTACAGAATGAAGCTATGCGGGTGATCCTGTGATGTACAAGAGACACCCCGATTGTGTGCATGCGATACATCCTTGCATTGCTGACAGGTTAAAGGTGCTGCAGGCTAAGTCATACATTAGAGTAGCTGCAAAGAACACCCTCTTTTTGAAACTTCGTAATGCTGGGTTCGATCCCAGCTGCGGGCCATGCGCCTTGCATTGGTTTCGACAGTGGTATCAAGAAAGCCGACCGTCCAGGAAGCAATGGCAAACTACTGAACGTAAATTTTCCTAGAAAAACCACATAACAGCCAGGGGCTGTTAATCCAAACTTTCCTATAATTGGAACATGACTTATATACAAGGTCCGATAATTAGGTAATGAGACTAATTCCATAAAAATTTAAAAAATAAACAGTTGAAGATATAACCTGTATTTTATTCAAAGTAAGCCTTTTATTAATACAGCGAGTAGCACGATCTAACAAACACTGTAACCACCTTTGTAATTCTTTTATTGTTATGGCTCTTAAAGCCAATATTACGGCCCTTAGGATGCCATCAACATCGTCAAAAAAGCGTCCTTTAAATAGTGACTTTAATTTTGGGAGTAGAAAATAATCACAGAAAGACAAGTTTCATTCTCTGCAACAATCAAATTTCAGAAATGTATATTTCTAAGACACATTTTGATTTTTTTTTTTTTTTGCGTACCCAACACGCTATTGTTTTTAGTCATCAGACAACGAATGTGATACAAACCGGCATGCAACTTTTTTCTTGCCTAAATCTTCCACTGAAATTTTACGATGGTCTCTCTATCAACACCAAATACATCTGCAACCATCCTCACAGTCAAAGAACTGTCTTCTTGTATTCGTTCTCTGACTTTTGCAGTGAGTTCCTCATTTCGAATAGAAATTGGGCATTCAGGTCTAGTTGCATTAGTAATCATTTTCACACCACTTTATAATTTGTTATCACTTCCTTTGTAGGGAATATAAAGAAGTAGAAGGCATGTACAATAGTAACGTTGTATAAGTGACTAACTTATTTATTTATCTATTTTACTAAATTCAACATGTTATTTTACTTGCATGCAGCTTTGTTTGACCCTGTATATTGACTATCAATTAAAAACGTGTCTAGTTTGACAATTTCTACAGGATACTAGCTATGTATAAAAATGGTATTGTATGGTAAATGACTGAAAACCAGTCAGAGGTGTGCACAGATGGCCACGTAGATCTGACTGTCAGCAACAGGAACATAAACCACCAGGCAAAGAAAGTCCTAAGATACAGCTATTGACTGTCTTTTTTACCTCCCCCCCCCCTCCCCCGACACAGGACATCACACTGAGCGATAAATACCAGAAGACACAAAGTGTAAACCAAAATATTGTAAACCATGCTTTTCACACAATAAACATGTTTTAAAAAAAAAGCAATTTTTCGTTATCTGAAGCCCCACCCTGGCTCGTAACAGGGGCCGCAATATAGCCCCGCCATTATGGCTGAACGCGGTTTCCTGGACCTCTCCACGGGTGGTTCTCTTCAGCATGGTGGCACTTTGTGTCATCGGGTGTTTTCGCTTGTGTGATGTCCTAGTGGGGTAAAATTTACTTACTTATGTTTATATTTGTCATTTCCCTTGTGGGATGCAATTTCTCCTTACTTTGAAGCCCCTCCCAGGCTCTTGCCAGGGGTCGCAATATAGCACGACCATAAATATGGCCTAATGGCTGAACGTGGTTCCGGGACCTTTTTACGGGTGATCCTCATCCGCATGGTGGAACTTTGTGTCATCGGGTGTTTATCGCTTGTGTGATGTTCTGGTGGGGTAAAAATGTACTTACTTACTTACTGCCTGTGATTACCACAAAGAATAGCTAATCCATAGTCATCACAATTATGTGATGAGTGTATTTTTGATAGGTACGCCAGTGTACCTAAATTGTGTATCATCAATTAGGGCGTCACGCAAGGACAGGGAGTGACAACTATCCAAATATGTTTAATTTTATCGACCATTTACCTTTCGTTCCTTTGAGTGGTTGTCACAGAGGGCCTCACTCAGTAAACAGATTTACCCAGATGTCCATAATGCCTTTAAGACGGCCCTGTGTGTAAGCAGTTAGTGCCATGTGCTTACATTCTCTTCGGTAACTGGGGATGACCCCAAGCAAAGTGAAGGCAATTATGGCTGGTGAGAATGCAAGAAGTGATCCGGACAAAGGCGAAAGCGACTAAAAATGTGATAGTTGACAATTTATCCTTATTGCATGTCGAACCACTCATTCCATAAAAGCTCGGATCCCCTCCTTAGTAAATCCTGCAGCGTGTAGCGGCTGACAACACCAGCTCTGTGTTGGTTTATTATAATTCTTTGGCTACTTTGGGTTCTTTTTTGGTGACACCCGGTTTAACTTGCAGTCTGACCATGGTTGCAGATTGACAGTTCTTAACTAGTTCATACAAACGTCTCAAATCTCAAAGAGCATTCAGTATTATCCATGGCTTGTTCGGCTTTCAAAGTAGCCTCACCTGCAAGTCCATCAGCAAAATGTGAAAGGATCTGACTCAAAACATACTGACAGTGACAATCTCAATGAGAATGCTTAAAAAGATTAAAGCTGACAAACTCTGACTAGAAAGAGTTGACATCATGTGGAAGTCCTGCCTAAAAAAATTATTTTGGCTGTACACACTTGGATGGGCAAGTGTGAAATGAGATGAAAGAGCTGACTGGCTGTGTCTGTATTGGCTAGTGGAAGAACACTTATGGACAGAGCATACAACTGAACGTGCTGCATTCTAGTGACGTTGAGACAAAGGCCTCAGGCGATGAAGCACCTGTTAGAAATGTCAACAAGGACAAACATGCACATAAAGTGGTTGTGGAAAGCGTATGGGGGGGGGGGGGAGAGAGATATGCCATTCAACTCTTACTGGGTAAGGTTTGCTGCTGCATCGGAGGACGAAACATTTATTTGTCACTGTACAATATGCCAAAGACACACATGTGAATTCATGCTCCATATATGTCAACAGGAAGTTTTACTTTTCACACAGCTGTCATTTCACCTTAATGTTCAAACACAATTTTCTCGAAACAAAGATATAGCATTTAGGTGACTTTGCCAAATGGCCAAAAAATGACCTGTCATAATGGTCTCCTATCTATGGTTGTGATAATCCTGCAGGAGCATTACGACAATCATCATCACTTATATATGACTGTATACTTTTAATTCACACACAACACAAATGGCAACGCTCTGCAGACAAAATGAACAAGAAAAGACACGCCGCACTTCTAAATATACACTTGTTGTGCAGACAAAAGTGTACAATTTTGTTTAATAGTATTTAAATTCTACCTCCAGAACTGTTATCTCCCTGTGGGATGTTTCAACTAACAAACAAAGTCAACTGTTATATAGACTCAACCGTCCACAAGTGAACAGCTCGATCTCCTCCAACAGCCAAAATAGGAAGGCGCAGATGCCAGGACAGTCCATAGGCGACTTTCAGGTTAGTGTTGACATGTAGCTGGGGAATCAAAACAAGACACCAAGATGAGCTGACATACAAAAAATTTAGTCCATAAAGACTTTCATTAGCAAACTACTCAACATATGCTCACTGACATACCAGTAGAATATATTCTCTACTAAACTGATTCTGTATAAGACAGCTCTTAAGCTATTCTATCTTAGACATCTCTAGTTTCTTCTGCTCCTGAGTTTGATTACATTTCCTGAAAACACAAACAAGAGCTGCCCTAATGTAGAACACAGGATATACAGTAGTTACTGGCCGGGAGGACTTCAAGAGTTCAATCTTTCAGTCTCAAGCAATGTGTAATATGCAATTAGTGCTTCTGTGTCCCAGTCACTGTATCATGTGTAATTGAAATTTGTGTTTAATTTCCCTTAAAATTAAACCCAAAATGAACACCACAAATCTGTGGAATAAATCACATACCTGCTGATGCCTGGTGTTGAAAACTTTCAGCTCTTTTCCTGGTCTGCCACAAGTTGCCAGGAGGGATTCATGACATCGCGACCATCGGAACAGACAGGCACCCTCACTGTGAGCTTGGCGTCTTTCAATAGGAAGGCTGGATGCAGGGAATCAATGATCCGATGTGTTTTGTTAAAATAGAGATTTTTTTAATTGATAGGGAAGATAGCAGAGACTGTGTGTTGCGTAAGACATAGAAAGGTGGTCGTGGGGGGTTGGAGAGAGAAAATTATAATATTACATCTAGTTATGACATGGCTAGACCCTTGTCCACAAATTGGCGAGAGAACCTTCAAACTCCCAGCCCAGAAACAGAATTTGCATCAGTAAACCTACACTGAAAACAAAAAAACTTTTCAGAGCACCAGTGGTTAGCCGGTTATCCTCCAATGTGGATAAGTAATGAGAATGAGACAGGTGGACAGACAGAATCTGGAGAAGACATGGAGTGAAAGATCTGATGTGTTGGGTTGAAACGTGCAGATATAACGGTCTAGCTGTAAACCACAATACAATATGGCCAAAGGAGAAGAAGTAGTGTGAGGGCAAAAACTGTTCAGGCCTGAGCACTTCTGTGTTGACTGAGAAGTTCTGATTTGACCAAACCACAGTCTGCTTCGATCATGTGTCCCATACAGAGTGATTTGCATGCTGCTCCCTTTTCATTTTTTAATGTTCAGGAAAGGTCACTGTAACGTTTATTCTTTGTTCACAATCTTTGTTTTTACATTTAGGAGCAAATGTATCCGATTCATTGCTAGCACATCTGCAAAATGTGCCTTTCTGTGGCTAAAGCTCTGAAACTGTTTCAGGCAGATGTTTTTAAATCTGCCAGTACCTTTAATTTGTTTAACATGATTCAGACTGTGGATTTACACCAGCAGCAGCCGAGCTGTTAGCGAATCTATCAGTTCTAATGAGGTAAAACAGGGGGCCCTTTTCATTTGTGTAGGATGTGAAAGTCATCGACATTCGCTTCCAAAGGCTGTTTCAACCAGTACCTTACTATGGCTAAGCTGCATTGAAAGAATTACAGCTAGTCTGTTTATAACTGTACAAAGTAAATAATTTGTTTATTGGTCCATTTTTCTGCCATTTTTTCCTCTGAAATTTTGTTGAGCATTCTATGAGAACCTAGAGCCTCTGAGTGATTAACTAACATAGAAACGTATAATAACTTTTGAATTTGTTAGGAAACTGAACAAACTTTAAAGTGTTATTCTCAAATGTGGATATTCACTGCTCTTGTGGCTGCAAAATCACAGTGAGTTAAGATTTTTTTTTTTATTGTGTCGCTGTAAACATAACACCCTCAGAATTTTTTATTTTATTTGTTAACTATAACAACATTAAGCACAAACCTATCATCAAATTCAAAATGTGCATTTATTCCTCTTTATGAAAGTATATTTTGTAGGACTGGAAATGTATTTCACTCTCAACTGCCTTGTTTTTTTTTTAACCATCGCCTCTGCCATTTTGAAAAGGGAAATTAATGTGAGCCAAGTCTGTCAAAATGCATGGGCTTGAAAGAGTTAATAAGTTCATACTGATGAATGGGAAAGGATAACAGCAACTGAAGACAAAGCAAGAAAATGTTTACACAGATTGAGAGAAGGTCACGGAAGCTGTAAATAATGAGAAAACAATTTTAAGACATGAAAAATATTTTGAGCAAAAAAAGAATCATGATGCTAAAAGGCAAGCTGGAATAAAGATTCAAGGGAAAGTCATCAAGAGGAAGGAAGAAGTTGCGCACCAGCAAACAACATAAAGAGATGGACCTAATAAAGTCTGCTTGGATCCAGTATAAATTTATAAGATTTAAAAAAAATTGTATCACAGCTGACCACTAAACTTTTCAAGTCACATGATACATTTATTTTAGGCCAGCGGAAGATAATTCAGTTAATTCCTCACACCATTTAGGTTTACTGATTGCTCTCCATAGCTCTCACAAATGTTTCATATATAAATATTCACAATTTGAAAATTTTTAGGAATCTGTATGAAATCGTTATTTACTTAAATCTCTCATTAACAGGGACCACAGGGTTTCTTAAACTCTCTCTCTACACAAACAAATTGGTCACATTTTACTACATTTCAAAATTAAATTCTCCCAAGCTGTGCTATTATCATGTTTTTAAACTACTTTTATAATTGTCATTACAGACCAGAGGTGTATTTATAAAGCTGAATATAAACAACAGTACAAAGCTTCTCTAAAGCCTGGGCATCCAGCAGTGTGTCTCACACACCAAAGGTCACGGGTTCATTTCACAGACGCTTCAGTCTTCTCACTGATGCTGTTTTTACTGGACCCCTGGACCACAGTGTTTGTAATCTGTGCAACGCTCCTGGCAGGTGTCTAGCTGTTATGCAGAGAGAGACCAAGACATATGGCATAAAACCTGTGCAATTAGGTTGATTCTCTCAACTGTGAACCTTTCTATCAAAGCCAGCAATTAGTTGACTCAGCTGTCCTCCTGGAAACAGCCTGGACAAGGCAAATTGTCCAAGAGAGTAGAGATACTAATAGGAAGCCACAAAAGATATACACTGAAGTAGGATGTGTTGCATTAATGGTATGAATAACACAGCTTTGCATCAGCTAGAGAAAAAAAAAACCAATGCTAAATTCAAGTCTCAAAAGTATACAAGAAAAAAAATATTTTAAAATATAACTTCCATAATACAATCCTAGTATCTGTAATACCTTGACACGGATACATTAAACACCATCCACTCTGATCCTGCAACAGCCCCAACCAGAAGCTGGTCATGTCTTGACCAATCAGCAGACAGCAGGGGAGTCTGCCCACAGGACAAGCTCATGATTGGCTGCTGGTTGTGTAGGGACAAAAACCGAATATTGCCATCCTTCTGGGCAACCATTAACTGTGGAGATTTCATTGAGAGAAAACAATTGGCATAACTTTGTTAAATGCATACAATTTTTATAACGTTAAAATTAAATTTGGATGCAAATTTTTACAGGAACTTCTGTTTTCTTACATTATATATTTCTCTTATCTCTTGATTTATTCTTTTTCATTTTCTCTTCACCACTTCAGATATCACATTTTCATGGCTACTAGTTTTCTTTTCTGGTCTGTTGTGAGTGACAATATCTGGCAATGGTATCACAGGGTGGAAAAAATATGCACTGTAGATGTCTGTGCGGATTCATTGTGACTGCTTTATGGTGTAAAAGAAGGCTAGCTGACTCAATACTTGGTTTGCTTTACCACCTCCATCAAACAGTAAAACCTCATTTACACGAATTCCAAGATATCTAAAAATCGAGTCCATGGTAAAAAAAAATGTGTTGTTGCTAACTGGAGACTAATAACAATAATACATCCCTGCTGTGACCAACACTGTTTCCATGTTAACTGAGTGTTCTTCTTAAGTGACTTTATGTTAACTGAGTGTTCATCTTAACCGAGTTCATGTTAACTAAGTGTTCTTCTTAACCGAGTCCATTTTAACTGAATGTTCTTCCTAAGCAAGTTCATGTTAACTGAGTGTTCTTCTTAAGCGAGTCCATGTTAACTGAGTGTTCTCTTCAAGTGAGTTCATGTTAACGAGGTTTTACTGTATTTGCCAGCTTCAGTGAATTCTGCTCCCAAATATTTAATCTCAGATGCCTGTTTAATGCCTCTGCATGCTACAGCTATACTTAAGTTCTACTTTTATCTTCCTATCGACATTATTTATGTTTTGTGTGTGTGTGTGCTGATTCTCATTTTATTTGTTTTACATTCTTGATTCATGGATGTAAGATGTTGCAAGTGTATGGGCTATAACTGCAATTAGGGCCCGGTTATAGGCAAATAGTAGTACGTTGATGTTACTTATATTTTCGTTCCAGGGCTTGAAATTTTTGCTTATACCGTGGATGTAGGTGATAAACTGAAAAGGCATCCTTGCGTTATTCCAGATGCTGATGTGAATGGTTTCTATGTTTCTCAATTTATTTTAACTATGCTTCTACAATTTCTCTATACAATTATGCACACAGATGAAATATTTGCTTACTCCATACCAAGCCATCATACTTATCTACGGACTCCACACAGAAAAGCCTTCTCTTGGTCTATGAATGTAATTAAATTCCAAGACCAGAAATACAGCAATAAGATTAAAGAGAAAATCAAAAGGTCCCAAATGTGAGTAGCACACGTTAACATTTACACAATTCACAAAACAATAACACTACTGCCCTTAGTTTGCTTTGGAAGACAGGGAACAGAACACCCACAGACAGACAGACAGAGCCCATCACCTTGGATGAAGTGTGTTTGGAGAAATTCTACAGGATGGAATGTTGAAGGCAGACACATTGACATGTACCTGAAGAGCAAGATGTGGTCAAGGCCCTTAAAAAATGAGCGAACAATGCAGAAATACTAATAGATCATTTCAGTGTGGAGAGAATCCTTCAGCAGAGAGTGACCAGGAGATCTGGCTGACACTCTACACCCAGAGGAAAGACAACACGGACATATAATCAAACTGCTAATGGTACCATCAGAATTAGAACTCAGTTGGCTGCTGAAGATGAGGACGGAGTGCACGTAGGGATGTCATCTACCAGAATGCCATAGGAGGAAAATAAGGAAGGTTGGTATGAGTCTAAGAGATGCCTGGTTACATCCTCACAGAGTAGGCACTTTAACCATGACATGACAGAAACTGACCCTCACCTTGTAGGCTTCATCATTATGCCAGCAGACAGCCATGCCAGGGGATGTGAGCTGAAACAATGACTCCTGCAGACCATCAGCAACTGACCACACACGGCATGTTAGATCATCTCCTGTACTGGCCAGTAAGCTTCCTTCACTTGGGTCAAACGTCAGTGCATTGACAAATCCTTTGTGACCTGATAATACCTGCAGGAACACAAGTTACAAGTATCAAGCTGCAGCAAGTGTTTATTGAAACTTTAAACAAACTTAACTACAGATTAAATATTATTATCTATTAAGATCTGTCACATCAAACTGCAATGATTTTTTTTTTCAATATTTTCCGTTCTATGTATTCAATATGCACTTAAACAAATGTCTTTAAGATCATACTTAGACATACTTCCTCCAGTCCTCACTAAGACAGACTTCTTTTAGCCTATTCTAAGATAGGCATTTTTTAGCTCAAGCTTTCAGACTTTTCCAGTTCACACCAAGTCATACTTTTTACAGTGGTCAATTAAAAAAAAAATGCTTCAAGTTCACATTTATAACAGACTTCTCCCAGTCCAAGTGTTTAGAGGGGCTTTTCCATTTCACAATCCTTCCTTAGTGTTCGCCTGCTATATATTCAAGCAGAAGGTTCTGGTTGTTTATCCATCTCTGGACTTTATTGGTTCTGTTCCAGATGATATATAACACTATCATCTGGAAAGGCACCAATTATTAGGCAATGAAAGGCAGAAAAAGCACAGCTCAATACATATTTACATAAAACTAAACCTCAAATGTAAAAGTGAAGTGGTACTGTTACCTTCACAGAGTGTGTTGTATTCAGATCAGTGGTGAATATTCTGAGTGTTCTATCATCTGTTGCAGCGGCAAAACTTATAATAAAGAAATACAAATTAATCTTAGCTACACATCAGACTACATAAGGAACTCAAATGTTATGTTTAATCTATAGCGTTACATGAAAGTGAATCTTTGAATGAGAATGAACAAGTTAGGATTCCAATACGCAATAGAAATATATGCGATTTCAGATATGAACACTGCAAATATATTGAACCAACCAGAGAAGCTGATGATTGCCGTGATAAAACTAAAAAAGGAAGAACTGTTAAGCTATTCTGCTAAGTTTTAAGAGCTGACATCACAGCACTCCGGACATTCACAAAAGCCCTCCGTCCCTATCTTCAGCAAAAAGTTCCAACTCCAATTAAACCAATAACAGTTTGATTGTAAGTGCATGTCTTGCCTTTCCTCTCCATGTGAAGTCACTCCCTGTTGGACCATTCTTTTTCAGACCACGATAATCTAAGTGTGCCCCTGCACTGTTCACTCCCTCCTGATGAACCCTGACAACATCTAGCTTCTTTTGCACAATTTTACAACCAAGTAGTGCAGAGCCATCAAGTCTGTCCATCTGTTCATTCCCTAGCATACCTGCATACCCTGCAGAAAACATCCAAATGATGCTAAGCATACAGCTTCTGAAGCGATATGTGCCACTCCGAATGAAGCATACCTGTCTTTACCTTTTCCAACATAATTTAGAAGTCCAGTTACAATTACAACACGTATGTGCAGCTGATCTCAAGCCAGCGGAAGGCTGCAGTGACCACCTCCACTCCCAAACTAGATGTTGTGATATCATATGCCCCGCATTTGTTGCATTACGTGATGTCCATTAGCTTTTGCTATGAACTCCCATGCACTTCTGCCTCTCAACACAGAGCCATTGGTATAGATAATCACATCATCAGGGTGGAAAGTGTCAGAATTAGTTGTTAAATTTCTGATTCTGCAGCAGCTGCTGACCCAGTTCCTGCACTCCCGACTCAATGTGTTTAGAACCCTAAAGCAGTCTACCTGCTGCACAGCCACTCTGACCCCCTCATCTCCTTGCCTAATATTTTCAAGCACGCACACAGGTCTAATTGTGTCTTCTGCCTGTGCCATCCAGGACCTTCCTCTTTTCAGTCTGTGTCAATTAGTTCTATCTAGAGCTTCGTGCAAGAGGTGTTTGTTGTCTGCTACTAGCAGTAGGGCCTTACTAGCAGCACTTTTAGCCTATCTGCAATAGTCGACCGTGTACGTATATATTGAAGTCACACTGCTAATGTATCTCTTGTATGTTCCAGAATAATTTGCATTGCTTCATTCTGTATGCGTTCAATTTCATCAGAGGCTACTCTTTGTTAACATAAAGAGAAAAGAGAGACTGCAGACTAAAAGTTCATTGGTTCAAGAGGGAGAAGCAAACAAAATGATGCTAGATGGTCTAAGACCATGGTATGGAGGAATATCATCAACATAATTCATTCAGAACACAGAGGGCTGAAATCCATGCAGATACATGAATTCCTACACCATCTGGTATGGTAGATGATAATAATAACATATTAAACAATATGATGACAGGAGTCAACTATTAAAATAAACAGTAATGCACAGTTATTTATTGCAGAACTAATCAATTCAAGCTGCAGGTTCATGAACGTTTAGTTTTCATAGCAGATAAAGTTGCACCTGTGTGGGTCATCAAACCCATAAGACAAGACCAGGTGTCTTCTTGTTGCACCTCTTTGTGGTGTGGCTCTTCCACTACATGGGTCCTTACAACCTGAGTCCTCAGTCTGGCTAATGTTGCAAAGATCATCATGCCACTTCAAATTTCTGAGCTTGGAAACAGTAAAACAATCTTCAAGGAAATTGTATTTAGTACCAAGCTGAAAGGAAAGAATCCACATTGGCATCACTAATGTCAGCCAATTGACGGCTGAAATGAACTTACAGTCAATGCCTTAAGACTTTTTAATCTAAAAAATGTGTAAGCAACAAAAACACCCATGTTAAGCAGTCCATGTCCTTTTGACTCTGCTTTCGTGTAAAGCACTTACTTATGCATTTAATGCTGCTAGGAAACCTACACCACAATTTTAAAAATTAATCATAATACTGAACATGTGGGAGCCACCGTGGTCTAGCTGCTAGAAGCTCTCGCACGGATCAGAAGGCCGTGGGTTCAGGTCCTGACAGGGGGCTGACTTTTTTTTAAATGACCTTGGCTCCCAGGTCGACCCAGCATTGAGTGGGTATCAGGTACAGCCCTAGGAAGTAAAGGTGGGCAGTGTGAAGCTGACCACATCACGCATCAAGTACAGTTTGGTCTAAAAAAAATATAGGTCTAGCCCTATACACCCAATATGCATACAGGCATGGAATGGGGTCCTTTATGTTTACTTTTACTGAACATGCGTTTCAGACATGCAGCAGAGAGGTTCCAGGTCTGGCAAGCTGGTGGAAATCAGGATCAGTGGTGGGCATGCATGGGTAACAAAATGAAGATGACGAGGAAACAGGCTTCTGGTATCAACAGCCTTGTAAATAAAACTGAAACAATGGATGTATGTATCACATCAGTAGTACAAAACTGACATGACAAAAGAGAGGATGTTCAACGTTGCTATGGCAAGATTTTATCAGCAAAATATGAACAGTAAACAATTGAAAAAACAAATCATGGATGCAAATTTTAAGCATAATAATAATAATCAAAATAAGAAGAAGAAGAACGAACTGTTTCTGGCAAAAGGGGATGATTTTAAACGAAGAGTTTGCTTTTCTAGTCTAACTGACGCCAGTTTAATATCAACATGTATTACCCCCATTTGTTGTGCCACATGCACACATCATCGTTTAGCAAATTTGATAATTGTTCTATTTATTAATGTATATAGACATTTTTCTGTTCTAACAAAAATTAATCAAAATCTGATGCAAAACATGCATTTACTGACTTAGTTCATGTAGGATATTCACTATTACACTGTGCGGTTCTTACAATTTAAGTGATCATTTAAAAAAACAAGTTTGTGTAAAAGTTAAGGACCTGTCTTTACATTGTGAGGCCTACTGGGTAAACGGTACAGAAAAGAATGTTTAAAGGCTAATTAGTTCTAAGTGAGTTCAGAGACTTCATAATAGTCTTTCTGACAAATTACCATACAAAATAGAGGTATCATGATTTTTAGGAGAGACAATCTTAATAAAGCAGTCAATGGAGGACACAACACATACCACAATATCTTTGGCAACACTTGCAGAGAAGTCTGTGGGCTCCAGGCTATGGCTAGGGTGTTGCAGTTGGTTGAGAAATCACGCAGACGTGTGAACTCTATGCCTTTTGTGACTTTTGCATCTTCCTCCTAAATAAAACCCAAGAAAAAAAGATTATCAGTATGCGGGTGTGTGCACATGCACAACAGAATGGAGAAATCAAGGATAAGCCCTATGTGACACATAATCATTAGATAGCAAATAAAACAGAAATAATGTAACTCAGTAGAATGCTTGACCCACTACACATACAACTAAATGTTCTGACCTGAAACAAATAAGTTAGGGAATTTATTATCTGGGAAGGAAGTGTGATCATAAAAGATGGCAGAATTGACAGAGAAATACAAACCAGATGTCAGAAAGCAAGTACGCTTATATACAAATTGTCACTATTATTAAAACATCCAAACATAACTATAAGTGCAAAAAAAAAAAAAACACACACACACACATTATAAACAGTATATTCATACCAACATTCAACTACCAGTGCCGAACATGGACATTATCTAAAACCCATATAACAAAATCATAGCTTGTGAGATGCCTGAGAAAAGTTGTCAAACATGTAGACTATTTCCTAATTGTAGACTGCCACAAAACAGTCCCTTTATGCTGATGTGGAACCTTTAATAGTACTGGTATCATCACTGGAAGACACCTTAAACATATGGTGTGGTGTGGTTAAGTTTAAAGTTTGTATAATTTATTAACTTTTTTTTGTTGACTAATTTCACTAACTTATCTACAAAAATTCTTTAATTTTTTTTTTTTTGGTTGACCAATTAAATACATTTTTTTCTTCTCAATTACTCGCTTTGACAATACTGATATAAAACACGCACACACAAATTGTCTTCCGTTCAAATTATAAACAACCGTCATACATAAGACTAAGAAATGTATTTATGTATTGTAAAGAGCGTTATAAAGTTATTAAAACAAACTAATTTTTAATAATTAGTCATATAAATAATTAACATTATAAATTTTGATTTAAGCAATTTTTACATTCGATGGAAAACTGGACAGAGAAATTAGCTCCAGATGTGCCAAAGCTAATCAAGTAATGGGTCAAATATCTCCCCTGTTAACACAAGCAGATACCTCGGAGTACTAAAGTGAATCTTATCAGAACTATTTTTAGGCCAACACTATGCTATCAATGCCAAACGTGGACACTTACATCCTCCAATAAACGTAAAATTGTGACAACAGAGATGAAATGCCATAGAAGAGCTGCAGGAGTTTCAAGGAAAGACAGAATATGAAATCATGAAATCTGACGAATGCTAGAAATAAAGCCAGTCTTAAAGGTAATCAAAGAACAACAAATGAAGTGGTTTGGACACCTAACAAGAATGCCCTGGTACTATCCACCACAGCGAGCCACACTAAAACGTTAAAACGGGTATAGAGCGAGTGGAAGACCTTGGAAAAGATGGAGTGATTTCATTAAGAACAGCCTTACAGAAATGAACATCAGTCTTAATAGTGCTCTTGACAGAGCTTATCAACGAACATTACATCTCCCCCCCGACACTTCGCTGAGGTACAAGGTGGAAGAGAAGAAGAAGATTTAAGCAAGAGCCTGTGTCTATATGATCATAATGTGACCTTTTGATTGTTATATCAGGTTGCAAAAAAAAAATTGTGATATTGATAGATTTATATCATATAAATTGAGATATTATGTAATGATTATGATAAATGGTGGCCATTTTGAATAATAAATAGTTGATATTACGTAACTACTTAAATTTAATGTTTATTCATATTCATTTAGACCTTGTTGCCTTGAATAGAAAAATATATGGTTTCTATTGTCTTTTTTAAATACTTTATATGTTAGAGCAGTTTTAAACACTCCTTAAAGACTTCTAATTTTTGGGCGACAAGTTTTAACTCACTTTTATTTTTTCTTCATGATTAATGTTTTCCACAAAAAATCAAATAACTCGGCTTAGAACTGACATACAGTCATGAAAATGAATGTGGTACCGTTGGAAAGAGCTTTTCAATGTGTATGCAGACGTACTGGATTTATAAGGAAAAATGATTTTGAAAATTTGACTAAAGTGTCTGCATTGTATCTTAAACTACTTGGCAAATCTTATCATTTAAAACTAAAATATTTAAAAAAAATAATGCTACTCATATTCATCTTGTCTATTCTTATTCTACTGTCAATGATTCCACACTTGGGTGAAGCAGTCAACATCATTCATAAGGTTGCCTTTAGTCCTTTACTTCCGCAGACAATTCCTGCCTGGTACCCATTTTAGGCTCGGTAGATCTTTGAGCTCTGCTTTAGCACAATAATCAATATAATATTCCTCCCTGGAACTGAGAAGCTGGATGAATGTGGTCTCGAACTCAACTGTCAACTGAGACCACTGATGATTGACCGAGACGGGAAGAAGAATTTAATCCTGCGCCCACCCACACTCACACTGTTAGAGATATGAAGTGTATCATATTAAAATGTAATTGTAATGATCATTGCAGGGACATAAACAAGGGATTTCAACAAACCCACAACAATGAATGCAATATTGGCACCAGCCAGCCAAGTTGGCCATACGATACGTACGGCATAGAAAGAACGTTAGAACGCATACCTGAAATCTGCACAAAAACACCGATATTCCCGAGGATGTTCCAGCGGCTAATAACTGGCAAGACCATTCGAATGGAGAAAATTCAACACAGTGAACGGTGTCTGAACACGGTATTTCGTATGTGCTATTTACTTTATCCTCCTTCATACTTTTGCTGATATTAACGTCTAAGAAAACTGAACTACTGATTCGCTTGTCAAATTTCAGCGCCGACTTCGTAATAAAGTTGCATGAATTGCTTGTTTTTAAGTCGACCGAAACAGGAAATGGGTTTTATTTGGGTAACGTCCGAATTCATCAAAGAAACAAAATACATGATTTTATCAGTAGTTATTAGCAGTCTTGAAAAACTAGCTTATCTTTTTCTACTTCTTAGCAGGGTTAAAAAATATCTAACAAATAATTGTCGGTTTTATTTGTTTCCTAGAAACTATACAATTCATTTCACAACGAAGGATTCTCTACTGCTGAAACTGGCATCCACATTTCCTGAAGAAATGTAAACTCCTCGAAGAGAAGAACTCGCCAGCTCTAACAAACGCCGGGGATTTTGCGGCAAACATCCAACCTACATAATGGACGAAGAAGTCACTTTTCCCTTGTTCAAAAGACAGCGGTTAATTATGTCTGCTGATATCTCCGGCGATGAAATGGCAAGTATTCATTCATATAAAGAGGTTATGCAAATATTCATTTAATCGGAAAATGAAACAATAACTTGTAGTAATGCACTTCTGATCTGAACTCTGTGGGAGTACTCTACTACTACTACTATTACTAAGAAACGCATCAGCCGTTAATTACTTTGATTTAATTATAACTAATTTTAACTTTTTTTTATGCTACTGAGGGACATGATAGTCTTTTCTCAGGTCACTAAAATAGTGCGCAGCTGCTGTTTGTTTGTTAATGATCTTTAATACTAATAGTTTCTATACTATAAATAATGAAAACCAGGTCCCCCTGTATAAATATAGAGAAGGCCGTGGTAAAAACTAACACTAACACAAGGCTAAACACAGACGATTGGCCACTTACTTTAGACTGTCAGATTTTCTGGCTCTACTTTCAAATTTGGCCGGTAAACTGGACAGATTTGGCTGGCTTAGCGGGGCTTAGTGGGAGTTATGTCCCGTGGCCGCACTCAAAACAAGTCGCGGAAAATGTCACGAATCAAATGGCATACTTACCTATCATCATCCGGTTGCATGTAGGGTTGCGTAGGGTGTCTATCATCGTCCTACGGGTGCGTGTAGGGCTGCTTATTGCGTGTAGGTTGGTTTAGGGTTAGGGTTTATGGGTATGGTTCGATTTGAAAATTTTCACGTAGGAGGTCGAAATAGTGGCCGACAATCTGACGTTTGTGGGAGTGGCGCCACTGAAACTCTGCCAAATATGACGCCATAGTTACCTATAATCGCGCACAGTCGTATGCACGCACAAACAGTCGACGGAAGGTGGATGCTACTGACACGGACAATTCGCCAGCGACTAGGCACCAGCCGCCCGCTATTGGCGTCATATTTGACAGAGTTTCAGTGGCGCCACTCCCACAAACGTCAGATTGTCGGCCACTATTTCGACCTCCTACGTGAAAATTTTCAAATCCAACCATACCCTAAACCCTAACCCTATACCCTCAACCCTATACCCTAACCCCTAACCCTACCCCTCATCTTACACAAACAACCAACCTACACGCAATAAGCAGCCCTACAAGCAACCGTAGGACGATGATAGACACCCTACACGCACCCGGATGATGATAGGTAAGTATGTAATTTGATTTGTGACTTTTTCCGCGAGTTGTTTTGAGTTTGGCGAAGGGACATAACTCCCACTAAGCCGGCCGAAGCAGTCCAGCTTACCGGCCAAATTTGAAAGTAGAGCCGATTTTCTTATATTATTATGTGACCAAGATTGATATGTAAGATAACGCACTGTTTGATGGCTGAGACACACTATGATGAGGATCCCATCACACATTATGTGTTGTTTAGGACTGAAAGCATTGAATAAAGTCTCAACTTCAACTCTAAAACTTCAAAACGAGAGCTGATATGAATTTGACACAGCTAACTTGCTATTTTCGTTCATTCATTCAGCTTGCTTTGATCGTGACACCTTCATTTTTCTGTATCTAAAATATATGTTCAGTTGTTGAGATAACAGTAACAGTTAGTGAGTTATATTTGGCTATCCTATTGACACGTGACTGAAGCCCTGTTAGGGTATATTTTCCGCCTTGATAATTTAGGACCGTTATTCGGAGGATAGCCGTTATATTTTTTTTTGAAAGGTAGAAAACTGAGTTGTGTGCTAGTGGTGAGAAACAAGGTGCTGATGGTAAAATAGAGACTAATGGTGGGTGAGACATTTCCTTGCTTTGGGATGCACTGGATACTCACTGATGCCATATTTTTGTTATACCAACACTTGGGGTTCAGTATCGCTGCAGTTTCTCTACTTTCCAGAATACTTTGTTACGGTCATCTTGAACTGGGAATGTGCAGAGACCTGGAACATCAGTTCTTAATTCAACTCATCCCGACTCACTAGTGGATATTGCTGACACTCAGAACTGAGAGGAAAGGCAACATGGACTTACAATCAGAATGCTTCTTGTACGATCACATATGGAACTCTATACTGGCTGCCAAAGTTAGTGGCAGAGCATTTATGGGAATGTCCACAGTGCTGTGATGTTGATGATTCTTCACTCAGCTTTGACTGATTTGGCTTGGGAGCTCAGGTCAAGTTTAAAATTCTGCCTAACTGGGAATTCATACCTATAAACTCTATAAAGGCAAGTGTACTAGCCATTGTGCTATTTTGTCTCCTGTGAATCATGACAAACTCATATTGTTTGTTAGATTTTATTGTGAGATATCAGATCGGATTCCCATTATTGTTTTTTATTATTATGTGGGTTGTTTCGGTTAGAATTTCTGTGTGTCTACCTCTGAAACATTTGTACGAACGGGAAAATGTAACATTTATACAGGATGATGTCTCAAGCACTGCAAGTACAAAGGAGGAAGAATCATCTCGGAGTGAAACACCAACTTTCAGAGGGCGGAGTGGCATCAGAAACAAAAGACAGATGAAAAAATGTAAACTGCAATTTAAGTGTACAAACTATTTGAAGGTTAGTATTTATTATGTCCCTCAGAGTTATAAAAATATGATTACAGAGAAGGATGCTAAAGATGTTTCTGACAGAAAAATGAATCATTGTTTTGAAAGGAGCTTCAGACAAATGCAATTGGTTACAACAATATAAAAACTGGACAGTCAGCATTGCATTGGCACCAGTGTGAGATGAGAAATATTGAACATATTGTAACAACTTCCCTGTGTGGGTTCCAAGGCCCCATTAGGGTTGAGGGGGGTGTAACACCTTAATAACCATGCCGTAAAATTTGCTAATTAAGTGTTTGCTGAGACCAGATGTGCTGAAGGTGGCACAGATATTGCAGCCTGGCTGTGAGCCACAATACAGCAGCCTGGCTGTGAGCCACAATACAGCATGCTGAGCTCCCTTTCGAGGACAGATACTTAAGAAGGAATAAGAACAGAAGGATTACTGGGAAACCAGGAAAACACAGTGAGGGAACATACTCTTCATCATGGTATAGAAAGATGTCTACTCAGAAATTTTAACATTATGTTTGAAATTGCTCAGTGTGAAGTACGATTACCCAAACCCAGGCACTTGATAACTGACTGCTTTTTGTTTCCCTGTTAACCAAATTAAGTGTTGAGGGGGGGACTCATTTTTCGGCACACAGATGACCTGAGTACTTCTACATTAGATTCAGATAATCGATGTCATTGCAGTGGGTTTTAACCCATATGGCTCAGTCTCTCTTCACAGAGCGGCTAACTGCCTGCCGAGAGAATCACACAAAGCACTTATAATGTGGGTCTGGCGATGATTCCCAGGGGTCTTTATCAAATTTGCACTCATGTACTTGACGGCATATCTGTGGGGGGGGGGGGGGGGGGAATCTGTGACCTTCCTAACACAAGCAAACGACTTGACCAATTTGTTGCAGTGACCCCCTCGCTTTAGATTTAACAGTTACAACTGTCTTCTGAGGGCTTAAGAACCTGACAGCGTAACTGAACTTCAGTATAAACTGAACATCTCTTCAAACATAACTATTTCTTTCTTTGGTATACTGCTCTTCTTTGGGGCAGCTCAGATTATTTTAGGCAGGTTTTCTTTGATATTTCCATGCTGTAACCTTTGTAACATTGATTTGTAGGAGGACCATGGGCAACCTTTGTTTGGAATTCAAATTAATCTTGCAGTGAAAGAAACTGATCCTGTCTTATTTGCTACTGTAGGACACAACAGGGTGAGTACAGTTAGTTTGTTGCCAGCATCTGCTGCTTTGTTTTTAAAAAAAAATAGCATTATACTTTTTTTTGTGCACGTTTTTAGATGCCAGTGAAACTATCTTTAACAAAAGTCGTGGTTTTAATTTCACTGCAAACAGGTCACCCAAAATTGCCCTGTTGCTGGCCAGTAAAAATTGCAGAAAGTGGCCTACACTGTCCCATATTAACACTGGTGAACAGCCTTTTAATAGTATTAAATTTAACTAAAAGCAGCAGTCAACTGAGTTGTTGCCAGCCACACAGAGCTTGCCCTCATATAGGGCAGGAGCAAGTCAGGATAATGTTCTCTGTTCTGCACGTGTTTGACATTCTTGCAGCAAAGGTGAATCTATTTTACAAATTCCACTGTTAATTTATTGCTGTCTCCTATCTTAAGCTTAATGAATAGGTAATACTTCATACAGAATGGTGTTTTTTTTTTGGTGTCTCACTGGTTACCTGCATGCTTATATGGTGATCGGATGCATCAGGAGCATAGTTTATCTGTGTTCCATGAAGAGCAGTAAAACCATAATCAACAAGGTGTACTATAAGCAGGGAGCTTGCTATGGTCAGACAATACAGCATGAGGATCTGCCTCTAGAAGAAGAAAGATGATGTAATACAGAGAAATTTGAAGGCATTCCTGATTGCTGAGAATGTAGTCAGTGCCGTAAATTAGCTGAAGAAAATACTTCCTTTGGTAAAGAAGCTGGAATTTGAGATGAGCTCTCTGTGGTTGAAGGTTAAAAACAACATTGAACACGTTAAACATGTGGGTGAGTATTCCAGGAAAGATTTTGTAAACATGAATCGGTGTGTATATAATCTTTTCTTTTTGTGCTAACGTATGTGGAACGTCATTAGAAAATAATTCGAAAGAATGGACTGCGCATTTAATGTGTTGTTTCTGTTTACTGTTGAATTGTAACTTATCAGTAGGCTGTATATGTGCATTACTACATTAGAGCTCAAAATTTGTATGTGAATGTTCTTCTATTTGCCAGGTAACCATCTATGAATGTCATGATGGTGGAAAAATCAAGCTCTTACAGTCTTATGCTGATCCTAGTGTATCCTTTTCCAAATTTAACAGAAAGACATATATTTGTGCTTCATAGATTATACCAAAGCTTTTGATAACCTAAAACATGATAAAATTGTTGGAGGATGTTAACATTGATGGAAAAGATCTCAGAATAATAATAAAAAATTTACTGGAAGCAAGAAGCAGCAATTAAATTGGAAAATAAAGTAGGCAGATAATGCAAGGAGTGAGACAAGGATGTGTTTTGTCATCAGATCTCTTCTCTCTCTCTCTCTCTCTCTCTCTCTCTCTCTCTCTCTCTCTCTCTCTCTCTCTCTCTCTCTCTCTCTCTCTCTCTCTCTCTCTCTCTCTCTCTCTATAGTGAAATAATAATGAGGGAAGTCAAGGATAGACCAGGAATACTAGTTGTAGGTTATAATATAAACAGTCTTCGTTATACGGATGATACAGTATTATTGCCTGAAAACACAGAAGACCTTCAACATCTATTAGACATTATTCTACTAGAGAGTGCAAAAAAGGGACTCTCCTTGAATATCAAGGAAACAGAAATAATAGTTGTATGAAAGAAGAAGATAACTCAAAAATGTGACAGCAATAAAAGAGAAAGTTCTTAACCAAGTCAACAAATTCAAGTATTTGGGAATGTTCATAACATCAGATGGACGATGTGTGACAGAAATTAAGAGCAGAATTGGTCAGACAAAGGCAGTTTTTCAGAAGATAAAAAGTATTTTATGTAACAAATCTATGAATCTAGCACCGGCAGGATCCTCGTCGGTGCTACAAAGTTTGTGCACTGCGCTGAGATTTTTCAGACTCGGGCTTGAGTTAGAAGTAGAACAGAGCACCTATGGGTTGCTACCCTTGTGCCATGATGTTGATCTGTTGTATTAACCATAAACCATGTAATAAATCAGTCTCATTAAACATCAGAAAAAAGTATTGAAATGTCATATCGAGCCTGTTCTGTTGTATGGAAGTGAATCTTGAAATGTGAGCAAACAAATTAAGAAGTGGAGGCAACTGAGATGTGGTTCTTGAGAAGAATGTTGAGAATACCTTGGACTGCCAGAATAACCAACATTGAATGCCTGGAAATGGCTAATGAAAGTAGAAAAATATATACAACAATGAGAAGGAGACAAACAAAGTTATTCGGTAATAAGATAAGAAAAGAAGCACTGGAAAATATCAGGACGACTGGAGAGATCACTGGTAGCTGAGCCAGACAAAGAGAAATGACGGTGGATGGTGGACAGTCGCATGGAGGAAAATCATTACTAGAATTGATCCAGAACACCAAAGACAGATCTGTGTTAACACAAGAACTCCTACGCCAACTGGGAAGGCATTTGATGATGATTTCTTTTGCATGCTTCCCATTCACTACATTCTTTGAAAAAAGAGCTTTGCAGTTTATAGGGTCACAGTGCCTTACTAGTTGAACTCTGATTTCATTCAGTAACCATTTAGTAAAATCCCACTCTTATATAGTAGGCCCTTTGCAAAGTATCCATTTTATTTTCTGTCTCAGCCAATCCCCTGCATCCTCTATATTCTCTATAAGAATAATTTAGATGACTTACATGCCCACTTCTTGAATTTAATTTGTTAACAATTCCTTGACGTTCGAATTTGTAAATAGTCGCTGTCCTGGCAAATCTGTCAATAAGAAAAGGTACCCACAAACAATGGTATATTTGTAGCATCCATGATCCTAGAATTAGAATTCCTGCTTGTGTTGCCGAGTTTGTCCACAGTCCTGAGGTTCTTCTTGTTTAGGTTTAGACAACGGATCAACATCATAACACAAGAGTAGTAACCCATAAGTGCTCTGTTCTACTTCTAACACAAGCCTGAGTCTGAAGAATCTCCATTGAACCGCCGAGGATCCTGAAATACTTTTGGTAACCTTTTAACTCCAAATTTTGCCCGGGCAGCACCGTTAGGCTATACTTTTTCGATTTCCGACTGCCAAGGGATATTTTAAGAGTGCAGCAATACACAAGGGCATCCGATCTGACTACCAGGAGACCAGGGGAAATTACTAGAAGTCCACATAAAAACAAAAAAAACCCAGCCTTCACCGGTCTTGAACCTGGGGCCTCCAGCACTCAAGGCGGTTGCCATGCCTCGAGGCCGCACCCTCCCTCCCCCCCCCCCCCCTTTTTTTTCCTGTAACAAACAAAAGCAGTCTTGCAGAAAAATACTTTACCCCTTTGCTCACCAGTGGCGTATGGAACATATTAAACTAGACTCATCTTTTATAGACTAGTCGGCCCTCGTGTGTTGTGGTCAACACCACACTAGCCACCTTTGCTTCCCAGAACTTTAACCTGATACTTATTTAAGACTGGGTCGGCATTAGAGCCAAAGTCGTGTTTGAAAAAATTTGGCTGCGTGGGGATTTGAGCCCACAGCCTTCAGATCTGCGGAGTACAGTCTCGTCTCTACACCTTGGCAGTTCACCGTAAAATACTGCACAGGCTGAAAAACTGATAGATGTTTGACATGTTAAATTGTTACAACACTGTGGCCTTGACTTTATTGAAGACAGAAGAAAATTTGTACTGCTGCGCTTGGTCATTTGATGATGCCACAGGACAACCAATTCTGGCAGTCGGGGGTGTCAGGGGCATTATCCGCATCATCAGCCCAACTGTGGGGCAGTGTATAAAGGTAAGGCATCAAATATTTTCTGGTTTACTGCAGTTCAAATCGCCTAATTGTTGTGACATCTACATGAAGTGTGTTCATCTTGCATCTGATTTCATATTTTAACTTTACATACATAGATAAATGTCTGGCATAACAGCCACAACACTGGCCATAAACTCTCACTGTACTAGACATGAACTCTCACTTCATTAGCCATGAACTCTCACTTCATTAGCCATGAACTCTTACTGCACTAGACATAAACTCTCACTGTACTAGCCATGAACTCTCACTGTACGAGCCATGAACTCTCACTTCATTAGCCATGAACTCTCACTTCATTAGCCATGAACTCTCACTGCACTAGACATGAACTCTCACTGTACGAGCCATGAACTCTCACTGTACGAGCCATGAACTCTCACTGTACGAGCCATGAACTCTCACTGCACTGGCCATGAACTCTCACTGCACTGGCCATGCACTCTCACTGCACTGGCCATGAACTCTCACTGTACTGGCCATGAACTCTCACTGCACTGGCCATGAACTCTCACTGCACTGGCCATGAACTCTCACTGCACTGGCCATGAACTCTCACTGTACTGGCCATGAACTCTCACTGCACTGGCTATGAACTCTTACTGCACTAGCCATAAGCTCTCACTGCACTAGCCATAACTCATTCTAAAAATGACACTATGCCCTACACCAGCGCTATTCAGCTAAGTTTAATCAGGGGGGAAAATGGGGATCATCCCAGGCCAGAGGTTCAGGTCCAAGCATAAGACTATCATTAGTACAATAAGGCTGGAAGGATCCGCAGACCCCTTACTAGGCCTCCGAGGGCCACCAGTTGAATAGCCCTGCATTACAGTGTATTAAAGAAGTAGTAAATTAAGAACAGTTATAGGTCGGGCTGGTTTTTTTCCTGCTCATGTGTAACTCAGTTATGTAGTTTTTTTTGCATGTAGATACTTAATTGTTATTCTGTTGTTTCTTTCCAGCAATTCATTGGTCATGGCAATGCAGTGAATGAGTTAAAGTTTAAGCCCAGAGATAACAACTTGCTTTTGTCTGTCAGTAAAGGTATGTCTGTTTGTATCAGGTCTTCTACTTTTTTTTTTCTTCTTTTGCTTTGTGTTCACCAACTCTAAAATCCTGTGGAAGGTTCTGTTTGTTAGTCCGCTTCTGAACTTTGTTTTTGTTCCTGGACTTGAGTTTTTGTGCACGTCCCTTTTACATGTCTAGCTTATTTGAATGCACACTGTTGGTTCCTCCCCTATCAGGCAGGTGCTCTGCAGCTTTAGTGGAAAGACCCTTAATTGGTCCCATTTAGCGACATGCCCAGACTCCCCTTTTTCTGCCCAAATGTGTCTCCAGACAGGGGTTTTTGTATTTACCCATCTAGAAGTTATTTTAATTTTATATACTGGGCTTCTGAGTCAGTCATGTCTGAAATTGATATGAGGAGATTTTCATCATCGTTCAAATGATGTAACTGTGTTGTGCATGTTTACAGTATAACTGAAATATTTGTAACTTTCCCCAACAATCCGACTTCATTTGGCATTTACTGTTGGGTAACCTTCCTGGTTAGTTTTGTCGGACATCACACTTTCGTTTTGTAAAACCACCACAAAGCCTGCTAGCAACCAAGGTGAGGTACAATTAACCCAGTGCAGTGTCCATGACATTCTCTCATGCCCATGGTTAAAAACGTTGCACTGCTATTTGAAGAATTGTTCTGGATGTAGCCGTTGCCATGGCAATATTGGCCACAGCAGCCACAGAGTGTCATGTGATCTTTAAAAATGTCTTGCTTGCATCATCTATCTATATTATTGGTTAGACCAGAGTTTTCTGAACTGTTTAAGTTTGTGACACACTTTTTTAGACTTGTCAAAATTTAGTGGCAGTATTTCAGTCTACCAGGGAATCAGACTGAACTATCACTTTTTAAGAGATGCGGACATATTCCTAAATTATAATGACAGAATGTTTCATGACATGGTCTATTTCATGAAAAATCTTTCGTTTATACTTGAAATATATTTTTTAAAGTTTCTTTGATTGTTTGTTTTCAAATTTATGAGCAACAGTTATGAAATAAATTAATACCTGTTAATGCAGGTTCATACTGCAGCTGACACACTCTTGTGTCATGACTCACAGTTTTGAAATCTCTGGACTAAATGCTTGTTGGCCTGCTTGAATGTAGGCTGATTTTGTCGCTCCAAATTTTTGAATTTGACTCCCTAGCCAACCCAACTTAAATTGATTACATGGTAATGTCATAGGAAATAAAGAAGGCCCATGTGATGTTGATGGCATCACCTACCGAGTGTAATTTTTTTATGTAGTTAAATATGAGTGGCATTATATGCTTAGTGGGACAGAGGCATAAACACAACATCCAGCTTGTCATACATCAGTTCACTGCCAGGTGGTGCGTAACCGGCCAGTCTATCCACCTGCTTATTTCCCAATACACTGGCTTGACCTCTAGAAAATATCTAAAGGGTATTTTTACTTACCATATGCTCATTATACCTAAGTCTGCATAAAACGATTCCTCCTTTGTGTTTGAAGATGTTTCTTTCACATGTGTAATCTCATAAGTTTGTTCCTCAATGCTGGCAAGTTCTGTCGGAGAGTTTGGGGTTCACTGCTGCTTGTCCAAGCAGTTGAATCGTCATGAGGAACACAAGTTGGGGTTATATTTTAAACTACCAAGTTTTAACATGGTTTGATCACATATCTCAGAATGAGATGTAGTCTTTCTGGTTCCTTCTCTACTTGCTTCTCATTCTTCTTCTTTGTGTTTTCCCTGCTTGTAGTTTTGAGAGCAGAAGGCCAGCCTGTTTAAAGACAGGTGTGACGCATGTCCTGCTTTTCTCTGGAATGCCAACCAACCTGACCTGTGACCTCTCTTCTGCATGAAGAGAGCACATCTGAAGCACATACGCTATGTTCACCTTATCCACTAAACAACACACAATAGGTCTGAAAATAGGAGGACATACCTGCAAAAAAGAAAATTAGCGCACTTATCTAGACTTTGAATACAAACGTTTTAGACAGGTTCTAAGAATATCATGGGAAAAGAACAAATGCGCCCATACTTTAGAAACTGAATATTGAAGAAGGTTGGCTATTAAAGACGATAAAACATAGAAAATTGAAATATTTGGGTCACTTGAAACGTCACAAAAGTTTAGAGAGAACAGTAATGGAGGGGTATATGCCTGGGAAGAGAGGAAAAGGAAGATCAAAGAGAAGATGGGTGCAAGATGTGGCGGATGATCCCCAGATAAGTGTATTGGACACAGGACATCTTGCTTGTGATCGAGAAGTTTTCTGGAGGGTTGTTGTGGGTGCAAGGTTCTGCAAAGGACATGCTACTGACTGACTTATTTATCTAGGTGTTGCCTACTTTTTTTACAGCAATGATGAAGCTACATAGGCAACACAGTAAGTTAAACATTTTAAATTAACATTCTAAAAACATAATACAGCCTGTAACAGTCTGTAACATATTTGCGTCTCTAAATGATGATGTTTTTTTAAATACCTCTATTAGATCATGATCTGAGAATATGGAATGTAAAAACTGGAGTGTGTGCAGTCATATTTGGGGGAGTTGATGGGCACAGAGATGAGGCTCTAAGTGCTGTAAGTATTTTTGTATCTTTTCTAAAAATACCTTAATGTGTGTGTAAAATCACCTTTGCACATGCTGAGTTTCTTTTTAAATGCTTATACTTCTTAGCATTCATCAGTGGAAGTTTCTGGTTGTCCATCCATTTCTGGACTTTAGTCTTCTTGCAGAGCTTGAGTGTTTTTTTTTTTTAATGCGCATCCTTTTACATATCTTTCCACATTAAAGAAACACTAAGTGGAAGGGCGAGGCGGATATACAATCAGATAGTTACTAGTGCCATTGCGGTTGAAATTCTTCATTTGCTGCTGAATATGGGAACGACATTCAACATCCCCCCCCCCCCCCCCCCCCCCCCCCCCCCCCCCCCCCCCAGGATGGACACCAGAACCGACATGAGGAATGCAAATAATTGATGTCATATTATTTGTTCAAATGTCATTTTTTTCGCTGCAATTTTCAACCTTGGCTTGGTACTATCATTGTGGTTAATCTGGTATTTGAATGTACAGCATCATTTAAGCTATTCACTCCTGTGCAGCATGAAGAATTTGAGGAGTTGATTACTTTGTTTCCACGACCAGCGCTACATTTGTTTTGGTCAGGTGTGTGGTCTCTGAGCATCTGTTTACCGCTTGGGTGCCAAATGTGTACCATCAGTGAGATTATATATTCAGCCTTTCAAACACTCATCTGTCCATACTGTAAGGAGACCTTACCTTATCTTAGTGCTGTTTACCACTTAGTCACCTAGTAAGATATTTAGCAGACACTTGGAACATTTCATTTGCTGGAAAAGCGTAATATTTTATTTTACTCTTGGGACATCGTCAACAGGTGGCCAGCAACTCTGCAAAGAGACCCAGCCATTTATGTTAACACCCAGTGCAGTGAAGTTCATCTTCTAACCTTGTAACTTAACTCTTTATTTTATTCAAATCTTTTGGCAGGACTTTAACTTGAGCGGCACCAAGATTGTATCATGTGGTATGGACCATTCCCTAAAAATCTGGAATTTAGAAACACCAGAAATTAAAAAGGCATTAGAAGACTCCCACAGTTACAGCACCTCTAAGAGTTCTCAGTAAGTTGTTTTCCCTATGTTTTAATATAATTTGTCAAATCCTGTTAATTTGATGGTAATTAAAATTAATATAAAAGGCTTGTGTCCACACATTGACAAATGATGCAAAGCCCTACATTTGTTGTCAATAAGCACTCAATGGGTGATAAGATCAATGTAACACTACATTTTGTAGAACATTTCATAGTGCTAATTTTTAGGCTGGGTAGATTGATGAGGCAACATTAAATGTGCCAGCAGACTGTACTATTTGAGTGCTAAAATGTGTGATTGGCAACCTTTTGAATCCTAAACATTGCATGATGTTTTGTCTTATTTTACCTTTGGTCAGACCTTACTACAGAAATCTGGCTTCTGTAGTGCACATTGGGCATTTTCTTGCTAGCTCAGTTTTTCTACTTATCTCTTCAGGTTGTCACTTTCACATTTGATTTCATTTGATACAAGAACCGACATCACAGCACTCAAGGCATTCCCATAAGCGCTCCGTCCCCATCTTCAGCAGCCAGCGAAGAGTTCCGATACCAATGGTACCAGTAGCCTTCCGATCTGTCTTGCCTTTCCTCTGAGCCTCGAGCATCTGCCAGAACCTCTCGTCACTCCAAAATACTTTCACATGAAGATATGAAGTATAACTAGAAAAAATTCAGAACACTTTGTTTTCTTTGGAAAACTGTTGAAATGTCTGATTTCATTTTGATGCATTTAGCATAAGACAGCAGCAGCATCTTTTCAAATTACCCTGTATGTTGAATCCACTCAATGAAACTGGGCTTGGACCCATACTCTCCTTAGGTTTTTATAGGTTTACCTTAGTTTAAATCATGAAAAATGAGAACTGCAGGTAGGAGAATAGTGTGTTGCTATGCTAAACAGGCCTACAGTTGCAAAAAACGAATTGAAAAGCAGACATAACTGAACGAGATAACCCAGCTGGTTATTGAAGTATGTTGTGGGATGAAAGAATACAAGAGAGAAAGATAACCTTACATGTGGGTGAACAACATTGAGAGAGAGGCTAGAAGAAACCTGTATGAATTCACTATGATGACACCAGACAAAGAATCTTAGGTACTAATCTCAAGTAATCTTCAGTATGGAGATATCACTTGGTAATAGTGATTGCTGCTTTATTCGTGCAACTATTCTGTAATGTATGAATGCATGCCAGCAGTTCTCACAATAATTGTTCATCTAATCATTTGATTGTTTTATTTCAACAGACCATTTCCAACTGAGTCATGCCACTTCCCAGATTTTTCAACACGAGACGTACACAGAAACTATGTAGATTGTGTTCGCTGGCTAGGTAATCTGGTTTTATCAAAAGTGAGTGATCTAAACTAAATCAGTTGCTAATAGAGATTCATTAACTTGTCCTAGAGAAGAATATTACTAAAATATAATGCAAAATCACTGTAATATGGAAATTAGTGACCCACGTAGTTGTATTCCATTATTTCAGTCAACAAGGAAAAACTATCTTCTTTTTCTTCTTCAGCATTCCGAGCCCTTGAGGTTTATTGTTGCAGATATTACCCACCTCTATTCATCTCTCTGGTTGGTTTTTCCAGTTGGTGACACCAAGTGTTTGCAGGTCTGTCTGGACATTATCTCTCCATCATCTTCTTGGTCTGCCTTGTGGTCTACGATCATTCATCTCCCTTTATAAAGTTTTCACTTCTATGTCATCTGAAATTCTCTCAATATGCTACAACCATTTCAGTCTATTAGCTCTCATGAAGCCAGTCAATCAATGGGGATTTAAACAGATTATGAATTTCGTTGTTGATTCTCACTCTCCATTCCCCGCTGTTAGCATCTTTGAGGAAAAATCTATGAATGTTAAAAATGTTTCTTGACCATTAAACGATGAAGGAACAAGTTTCAGTTATGTAACAATAAATCATAGCCAGAAAATTCATTAGAAAGAAAATATATTACCAGTTTTCTCTTTTTGAATCAATGTAAAAATGTTATCATTAGTGTTTGTAATGAGATTTTCTAATTTCTCAACCATGTAAATATTTTTTTTGGTATGGTTTGAAGCTGTTAAGAAGAGCTGATAAAATTAAATTCAAATTTGCCTCATTCAAATCTACTACTCAGTCTTTAAATGTGTTTTTCTTTTTTTTTATAATTGTCAAAGTTCACTTAATGAGAGATACAGGCAGAAACTGAATTCCCAAATTACATAAGTGTTTTTTAACACACCCTCACCTGTTTGTGTCTTACATATGGTTGGCATTGCACCTAAATATATGCACAACTTAGGCACTGCTGTTAAAGTATGGCTATACCTGATCATCTATGCTTATTTGCTGCCAAAAGAATGTATGTATATATAAAATATTTTCATTAACATATAATAATATGCTTTCCTAAAAATAGATTGTTTAGTATTCATTCTCTTTTTTACAATCTATACTGAACCCCAGAAAAACACATGAGGCAGTCCTGCAAGAAACGGATGAAAACCATTTAAAAAACATGAACAGTAATTGTTTTCAGGGACTGTTATAAGAACAAATGAATTTGAGAACTGTGACAGCTTGCAAACTTATTGGGAAAAGAAAAAGGCAATACAAAATTGAGGTGAGGTCAAGTTGCTAATGCTGAACGGGGCAAATGCTGATAAAACATGATAGTATGGTCACATTAAGGTGGCACTGGAACCCACAATGTCTGCATTATGTTTAGAGAACAACTTACTGCACATGTAAAAGAAACGAGGCACATGGGTAAAATGGAGTGAATTGGAAAGGATAGAAAGGCTTCGTAAAAGCTGGTTGGCAGTCTGTGCTTTATTATTGGATAATGGACAAAAGAAGAGAAATTAATTTTCCTTTTTGCAAGTCAGGCATCACATAGGTAAGATGAAGACTGTGCAGCTGAAATGAGTGACCACATTTGGTTGTTGTTGTTGTGTTGTCGTTTTTGTGTGTCAGAGGGCTAGAGCTGCTGTAGGTTTCTTTTTTAATCTCAGGAGTTGTCAGTCTAGATCTGTATTGCTGTCTTTGATTATCTTTCTTGACTTTAAGCGAAATATCAAGGACTTTTAGTTTTGCAAAATAAGGAAACACCAGTTTCACTATTTTACTGCTTTTTTGTTTAGAATACAAGAGGTCTAAGAATGGTAAATTAAGAATCAACATGACAGCACTCTGGACACTCCCATAAGTGCTCTGTCCCTATCTTCAGCAGCAAGTGAAGAGTTCTAATTCCGATGGCACCCGTGAAGAATGTAAGAGTACAAGATAATATATTTTAGGGTGTATAATCAAGATTGTTTTGAATATTTGTAGTCCTGTGAGAACTGCATTGTTTGCTGGAGACCTGGTAGCCATCATGACTCTCCCAAAGTGAAAGATGACAAAGAGTGTGTCTGGGTGCTGCACAGATTTGAGTACAAGGAGTGTGAGATCTGGTACATGAGGTTTTCCCTGGACTACCACCAGCAGGTAGGTGCCTTACATTATGCAGAAAAGCGAACTGTCACATGACCTGGTCATGTGGATTCATTATTGTTTCTTAGTCGGATATAACTGAGTTATTGTAGGTCGGTAGTTGGTACTCCTGTCTTCTGTGAACATCAAATGCTGGCCGCATATACCAAACCTGACAACACACTTATGTCACCAGCTTTAGATGGAGGATCATATTGTGAAGGATATTAGCCTTATCCAAAGAAAAGGAAATGTAATCTGAAAACATGTTGTTACTTTGTGCAAACATAAAGTATTTGTAGTAAATTTAAAATTGGCATGGTAAACATGATTATTTTGATTTTCCGGCAATAAGATGGACAGTATGTCAAGAGAGCCAGTGAGACTTATGTATTTCAATGAAATTTTTTTTATGAGCTTTATTTTTTGTTGATATAACTCTGTAGTAATGCACCTGAAGAGATTCACTGAAATATGCCAGGCAATGAATTATTCAGTGTATTTTTTGTGTCTGCATTATTTACACTTGCATTGGGGTTTTTTTTTGGGGGGGGGGGGGTTAAAGTTCATCAACAGTCTTTTATTATCTCTTTTACCATAATAATTATTGCAGTTGTAAAACATGTATTAGTCTTTACTCTCTTGTAGTGTCACCTAAAGAATTTGACTGCCTGCTTCTGGTGTTTGTGTTTTAGCCATATCTTTTTGTGTGTTTACACAGTATTATGTATGTACCCATCTTTGTGCTTAATATAATTGTGATTTTGTATTCCTTTGTCTTTGTTCATATTTTATTTATCAAAGAAATCATCAGCATTTCTGCTCTGTTATGTACAGCTGATTCAGTTTACTTTTTCTGTTTCTCTTTGTATGAGTGTGCCAATGAATAGTTCAGTTAACCCTTTCGCTGCTATGGACGTCTTTTCCCGATTTCCCGTACGCTGCTACGCCCGTCTTTGGACGTTATTTTGTTTCTTGACCCCCAGTGCTATGGACGTCCTAAGCCGTTTTTGAACTTTTCCTACAGATTTCTGTTACCTCGTATTTTATTGGCTGAAGGCCAATATACATTAGCTATATTTAGATTAAACTGACCCATTTACATATGATTAAAAGCACTGGCACGCACTTTTAGGTGTGTTTAACGTGTGTTTACTGCATTCTGCGTTATCCCGTTGCTTTGTTTACCGTGACAGCGTGGTCGGTGATCTGTGTATTTTGTGCCCTGATATATATTTGTGCTTTTGTATTATTCTACACTTAGTACAAAATGGCAAGAAAACTTGTTAAAGTTGATGAAGAATTTATGGAGTTTCTGTCAAGAAGTGATAGCGAAGATGGCTTTGAAATGTTTACTTCTGACAGTGAACAAAAAGATTTGACTAGGCCATCAATATCGACTGCTGAAACCGTCGTGTCCAAAAAAAAGCTGTTTGCCTGTCCGACGTCCTCATTGTCGGAATCAGAGAGCAGCGACAATGAAGCACCATCAAAACGGCAATAAATTGATCAGTTGTCTTTATGAACCGTTGATTTGAAACCAGTAGTGCATAATTTTGATGACTCCAGCTCTAACTGTATTTCTGCTACTGAAAATTCAAACAGTTCAGTCACTAAAAATTCTCGTCTTTCCCGATGGACAGACACAGATTCGGACGAACTTTTTTTTTTTTTTTTGCTGTCTGTCTGCTAATGCTTAGAACAAAGAAACTCAAAATAGAGTACTTGAGCAAAGACTGTTTGCTAAAAACTCCCGTGAAATAATGTCGACAGACATATTTTTACTATTGTTGAGAATCTAAAACATTTCTCAGACAACAGTGCTCATGCAGGCGGCGATAGACTACAAGCTTAGGCACGTTATTGATAGTCTGCGTACATCAGTCATTATTATCATTCACACAGCAAAGTACGTCAAGCGGTAGTATAGTGTAGTTGGTATCACGTTCGCCTTAGAATCAGAGGGCGTGTGTTCAACCCCCGAAGTCGTGTTTTTATTTTTTTTAAATTATTGTAAATTTTCCTTTCAGTTCCTGCTACTTTTTATCAACGGACGACTCAAGTATTATTATTAATTTTTTTTAAATTATTTTGGTATTTAATAACATGGTGACTACAAATAACTATGATTAAAGTGGCAGCCGTGGTAGGTTCGTCAATCAAATTTTGGGATACGGACAGGGAACAGTTCTTCCCATTAATCCCCCCCACCCCCAGAAGGATGATAGCTCCGTTAGTCAAGTTTGTGGGCAACCATCGTGCCTCTGACTTGTCACCACTCGGACCAAACACACAACTCCCCAGGGTAAATTTTTTTGGGTGTACAAAATATAGCCCTCACCGCCGATGCATCTCTTGCGTTTGGAGGATAGAAAAGTATTGCGCACAGCAGAGACTTTTTTTTCACATTGCTTAGCACAGGGAGGACAACTATTTCCGGGAACGTAGCAGCGAAAGGGTTAATTCCCATGTTATAATTGCAGACTGATTTACACACATAAGATGATATAAACTTTTAGTTTGCACATGTAAGATGACGTAATGTTTACCCTACCAACCAGGTGATGGCTCTAGGAAACCAGGTGGGTCATATCTTCGTCTGGGATCTGGATGTTGATGACCCAACACAAACCAAGTAAGTCTTTATGTATTTATCGGCAGCCATATGTTTTAAATTAACAGAATATATGTGTAATTTCTATTTCTTCCTATTAATTTCATGCTCATGCTTATTTCTGTTGATATTTGCAGTTGATTTTCTTATCGTTAGTAACTTTCTTTAACTATTATATTACCTTTTTTGCATAACATGTTATTCTGAATTGAGACAATTGGGGTTAATTTGTTCGTGTCCCTGATTTTGTCATAGGGAAGTATTGACAATTTGTTTGAAAATTCCAAAATGAGTAGTTGTATTCATTAACCTAAAACAAGCTTGTAACATGGTCTGAAGACAGTCTCTTGCTAAAAAAACAAAATAAGAATGATGGGGAAATAATTCACTGAATACTGGCATTCTTGACTAACAGAACCATAGCTACTAGTTATGCAGGCACAGCTTCAAGCAAACAAACTCTAGAAAATGGACTCTGAAAACTGTTGATTTTTGTTTTATTAGTTATTTAGCTTTTTTGTCTTCTTAACCCTCTGGAGACGACGCGGCCGAAATACTGGCCCAACGCAAAGTAGCTAAAAGGACGGCTGGGCCAATCGGTCGGCTCTGTGTAATAGAAGCCTTGATATTGACTGGCAGGTTTTCACACCCGCCAGCAGACTGCTTCTCGCATTTCTTGCACATGTCGGCTGTCCATTGAAGGCTTTTGAGGAAGTTTGATGTGTTCTGAATTTTACATTGATTTTTTTCTTGAGGCTACCTTGCCCCAAAAATGGTGAAAAGGACTGTTGCATCATAGCAACCGAAACATAGCTGGAGGCAGGAAAATGAGTAGAACCATATGCCAGACATGTCTAAAGGGCCTCCAAGGGCCTTCCCAAAATACAGATGTTAGGACTTATTCAAGCTTCATTTATAAAAAATAAAATTCTCCTAGATTTTTCAGGTTAGTTATGTTTGTTTCCAAGTTTTATAAAAAGTGCTTGCATCAATTGTGCAAATCAGAATAGTTGATTTGAATAAATGTTGAGATTTCAGTTTGATTCATAAATATTCTGTTAGTTCATTCAATTTCCTACACGAATATTTATAGTTTTTTTTAAATGTTAATTAAATGCTTTATTTTTTATTATTTGTGTGTGTATAAACTTTGAGAATCCCATTCTGAAGGCTCCATCTTCTTGGCACCGAAACTCCAAAAAGGCTCCTTCTCTCCAGAGGGTTAATATGGCCGTTGGCACATTGTTTTAGGGGTTTACTACTAGGCTGCAATTGTACCTTTCAGCGCCATATTTGTTTTGCAAAGTTGATCCCTGGAACCCACACTGGAAAGTAAGGAGCATGTTTTACTTTTCTTGACTGACAGCTGCTTTATATGGTCTGTGACAGTTTACATACTGTTTTTGTTTTACTCCTGCAGGTTTGCTAAACTGTCCCATCACAAGTGTAATTCAGCAATTCGTCAGACTGCCCTCTCCAAGGATGGAAACATTCTCTTGGCTGTCAGTGATGATGGTAGTATCTGGAGGTGGGACCGCATCAAGTGACTTGGCATTGTCGTGAAATATCTTCTGTTTGTTTCTGCTTGTTACGATGTACATAATCATAAATGATTACTCTTGATGTTGGTAGGAAGGAATTGTAAAAGCTCGCTGGCCATTGCATTGGTTTGATAGGTCCTTAATTGTTTCATATTTTGTACAGTTCCTTTCTTCTCATCTTATTCTTTTCTGCCTTTTCAGCTCAGATTCTAATTTTTCACTGAATTATATCATTTTTAGTCTACTCTTCTCTGTCCAACTTCTTTTACACTCTATATTTTTAATTACTTTTTAAAAACTCATAAATGCACCAATCAGGCATGTTGAAAATGTAATGGTTTGACAGATATTTTCTGTTTCGAATGACTCATGATGGGATAATAAGATTTATATTGCACTGGATATACAAGGCTTCTATTTTGCACCTCAGTGTGTGTGAAGTAGTTGCTTGACCAACAGCCAGGGGCTGCTGGAGGTTGGTTCTGCAACGTCCTGTAAAGGATACGCAACTGTCGGCTCTTTGGCTAAGTCGATGCGAGCGCTTCGTAATGCGGGATGCCAGGTTCGATCCCAGCTGCGGGCGATGCACCTTGCGTTGGTTTCGACAGTGGTATCAAGAAAGCAGACTGTCCAGAAAGCAGTGGCAAACTACTGGACGTAAATTTGCCTAGAAAAACCACACAACTGTTGGGGTTGGTTCTGCAACGTCCTGTAAAGGATCCACAACTAACCTACCAGTTGCTTCACCAGTAGTAAACTTGACTATCTTCCTTCTGTTCCAGGGAGTCATTAACTACCAATGTCTTAATCCTTATAGTTACTGAAATCACAAGATGAGATCCCAGTTCCACAGCTTGGACGTACCTGTTTTGGTGTGGACTATTGACAGATTTGTTGCCTTGCCTAGCTAATGTTCCAGGGATCACCTTGCCTCACTGGATGTTAGATTTAGATGGTGGATCAACATCACTGCACAGGGGTAGTAACCCATAAGTGCTGTGTTCTACTTCTGACTCAAGTCTTGAGTCCGAAGAATCTAAGCGCAGTGCACGAACTCTGTAGCAACGGTGAGGATCCTGAAATACTTTGGGTAGATTAGTACCTCAAATTTTGCCGAGGCAGTTCCATCAGGCTACTCTTTTGGATTTCAACTGCGGTGGGATTTTTTTACGTGCGCAAAAATACACAGGCATCCGGTCTTACTACCCAGAGACCAGGGGAAAATACTAATAGTCCATGCGAAAAAATCCCAGCTTTCACCGTCCTAAACCAGGGACCTCCAGTCTTCGAGGTGGAAGCCAAGCCTTGAGACCACTCAGCCCCCCCCCCCCCCCCCCTATACTATGCGACAGTCTGGGAGTCTCACCACGAAGCCGGCATGATGTGAAATAACAGAAAAGAACCACATTGTATTCCACAACAAGAGAAAGCAGCAATCTCCAACAGTCTTCCTTAGTTCATGGGCTGATATTTCTCCATGCAGTGACACAAGGGGTCAACTATCTCCCCTGTTGACACACAAGCAGATACCTCGGAGTACTAAAGTGAATCTTATCAGAACTATTTTTTGGCCAACACTATGCTATCAATGCCAAACTTGGACACTTTCATCCCCCAATGAATGTAAAATTGTGACAACAGAGATGAAATGCCTTAGAAGAGCTGCAGGAGTTTCACGCTAAAACGTTACAACGGGTGTAGAGCGAGTGGAAGACCTCGGAAAATATGGAGTGATGGCATTAAGAACAGCCTTACTGAAATGAACATCAGTCTTAATAGTGCTCTTGACAGAGCTCATCAACAAACATTACATCTCCCCCCGACACTTCGATGAGTTACAAGGTGGAAGAGAAGAAGTGACACAAGGCTGTCTAGAACCTTCTCGTGTGGTCTTACTCAGTCTCTCTTTCCACAAATTTTCTTGGCCGGCACAGCATGTTCCAGTCATTGAGACATTCGAACCCAGGATCGCCAGGTTAGCTGACAAAATCACTATGCTTGGCATTTGTTTATGAGTTTGTAAATATAAATTTTATATTGCAGATGTAATAATGTATAGAATCCAGTGATTTTCAAAGCATAACGAAAATGTTGAAGGTAGTATTAATAGATGACAAATCAAGCTAAGTGCAAAAACATAAATGAAAAATAATTGATGCTTAGAAAATCGAACATTTTGACTAAATTGACTTAAAGTGGCATTGAATTAAAATAAGTTCTGGAAATCTGATTGTATCACTTGTAATTGTAATATTTTGGTTGTAAGATAATTGTGCGTTTTTTCATTGTTATTTTATTTTATTAGGAATAATTGGGGAAAACATTCATCTGAACATTTGCTCTTAACAGTTTTTTTTAAGCTGTCTGCTGTATTTTACTGCACATGTTAAAAAATTGTTTCAATAATAATGTATTTTTACACATTAGCCTATTTTGTTTGGTCGTTTGTTTTAAAATTTATGTTGAGCAAAAGGTTTGTTGTGGAATGTCTTATTTAGAGAAATGAGTATCTTTCAGTGTACTGTAGAAAGCGGGATTTACTGTTCTTTTGGCAAATAAAGTGGTGAGAAAAAAATGCTGGCCTGCAAAAAGAGGTTCACTTGGTGTGAGTTGGTTGAATGCCTGTACTATGGGAGTTAAAGTGCTGAAGAAATGACATTACTGTAGTAGTCCTAGTAGTTACTGTTAGAACCTTTACTTTCCTTTAGTTAGTTAAAGAAAGGTTTGACTTCTTTCCCCCGGGTCTTGTCCCATATAGCTTAGTCCCTGTCTGCCTGCTGGCAGCATTGTACAAAGCAGGAATTTCATAGCTTTATTGATGATCCCCAGCGTTCTCTATAAAAACTGCATCCGTGAACTGAATGTCACGTCTGTGAAAGAAACTTCAGAACTGGAGGCAAACAGTTTGACCAGAGACTCCCCCTTCCCCCCACTTTTTCCCTACTGCCCTAATCTGTTTTAGTACTCATCTACTGTAACATGCCAGTAGGCACAGACGGTTATGGTTCAGCATCCCACCTTAATCATGTATCCATTTTAATGTTCCAACCAAACCATCCAGGAGTTTATCGCATTTCCACTTTCTCTTTCTTCCATCAGGTTTGGCATTTGTCAATAAGTTTTCTAGTGTACCACATCCCCCGCCACACAAGCAAATCTTTATTGATTGTCTAAATCTAATAGCTTTAAGCCGTTTACAGTTTCTTTATATTTATTGGACTGCCTTATGTATTAATCCTGTGCACAATATTTGTATTTCTTTCAGAAACCACATTTCGTCAGCCATTAGGTGCTACTCATTTAGACTGCTTAATGTTCCTAAATTACCTACCTGCATGCATCATTACAGTTCTTATATAGCTTTTCCAAAGACAACCTATCACAGACATCAGAAGGAGACAGTCATCATTTTTCAGCCATGTTAGGAGAAGAGGGAAAATAGAACATGTTGTGACCACTGGAAAGATCTGTGGAAGGAGGGAAAGAGGAAGACAACGAGAGAAGATTCTTGACAGTCTTGTTTCAAGGCATAAAAGTGTGTCAGCACACGAACTGATACATGCTGCAGGAGATCGTGGATTATGGAGAGGCATGATTGCCCACGCCAGTCAGCAAGGCACCTGATGATGATGATGATATAGCTTTTAACACTTTGGGGATCAGTTTCTAAACTTGCAAACTTTTGTAGGTTATAGTGATTTACTTCCGTAAGATTGTTTCCATGTACATAGAGGCTGTTTTATTGTTTCTTTCTTACTGGAGATGAGGATGTTTCTTTTCTGGCAATTTAACTCTACGCCTAGTTGCTCACTGTAAATGATTATAACCTACTTAATTATATACATAATATCTGACATGCACAAAACAAAAGTCCTGTGTTAATTTTTTTTAATGCAGAACCTTCTAAGACAGTGGCGAACTGAAAAACCTGGTTGGGGTTTGTCATTCAACATGACACCTTCTCGGGCGTACACAGTCCCAGGAACAGTTCAAGACACACAGAGAAGAGGAAGTTGTGGCAAATGTCTGGAACAATTACGTTGAAGAATGGTTTTTTTAATATTGCCATTTAAGGATTATCTTCGTTGCACATAGCTACTATTTAAGTTCTTCTCTCAGGTAAGTTCTCTCTCTCTCTCTCTCTCTCTCTCTCTCTCTCTCTCTCTCTCTCTCTCTCTCTCTCTCTCTCTCTCTGTCTGTGTATTTTGGTTGCGGCCAGCTTTAGCACTAAGGCCAAACAGGTCTACAGAAATTCTCATTCTGTTAGGCTGGTCCACCGCCGGTCTATGCTCACCATTGTTATCGAGTAAATTTATACACAAATTAAACTAGTTTAATTAACTTGCAACATATTTTATTCAATATTTTATTATTATTATTATTCTATTTTCTAGGGCTCACTTATTTTTCTTCATAATGATATGTTGCAAGTTAATTAAACTGTAGTTTAATTTGTGTATAAATTTACTCGTGGTCGCGTTAGCGCAGTCGATAAGAGGCTCGCTTTCAAATCCAGCTGCGACTCGCTGCAGCCCACAGTAGGTGTTTGAAACCGGGCGGGTCCCCGGGGTTCACCCAGCCTCTAGGAAATGGGTACCAGAGTTGGCACTCTCAGGTAAATGGAGAAATGTCGCTGTAGCTAGAGTTACGTGCGGACGGTGACACAGGCTGACAGTTCTTATCAGCTGTCCGTACTGGTGGCAGAGCACTTATGGTTTATAAACGTGTGCAACGACGCTGGTTCACATCTCCCGACTTAACTTTTTTACTCGATAACATTGGTGAGCACAGGCTGGCCTAACAAAACGGGAATTTCCGTAGACCTGTTCGACCTTACTACTGGAGCTGGCAGTGATTTTGGTTAAGTTAGTGACCTTGGGTTCTCAAATTGTATCGTGCTGCACTGATGAATATACCTAAAATGGATAAGATGCGCTATTAGAGCAAGAAAAGTATAAACGTCACAAAAGGTAATGACTTTAATAATCTGTCCAATATTACCAAAG